ACTCGATCCTACCTTAGATAAAGTGCTAGTAATACACATGCCCCACTCTAAGAAGTGGTTCTCCTGCAGTCATGGATTGTAGTGGGCTACCACACTAAGCAACAGGACACATTTAACTTAAACCTGGGGGTGCTGATAAGCATAAGTAAGCCTCCAGTGTGCCTGAAGCCAGAAGCAATAGGAATTAACATGGATGGGGTGCGGGCTTGAAGCTTACACCTCTCATCTGTTGACCAATGAATCCAAAGGAGGAAAAGAATTTTTCTCTGCCTCATTTCCAGACTGATAAAAGGTTCTTACTACCTAACCTTTCAGAAACTTTCTTCTAAGGAAATCGCTGGTATTCCACGTGTCTAAAAATAGGAATCTCATTTAGAGTAACGGTTTGCCTGCTGGGAGTTTTTATTATGCTTCATTGTGCTCCTTCACTAGATAGAGTTGTGCTTTGTGAAGGGCCTGGCTTGCGTATGGGAAAACTCAGCAGATTAAAACTGGAGAATATTTAATATAGTACTTACAGTCCCTGTTTTGCAATAGACATTTTGCCTGACTGAGGACAGAGACAAACAAGAGAAGCTGACAGATTGGTGAATGCTGGGTGAGATCATTTGTCAGGAGATGTAATGAATCACTGTGGTGCAGCATTTCATTTTCAGAAAGATCATTTTCTGTAAAACTCAAATTGAAGGCACAAGAGACAGCTGGGGGTGTGTTGTGAGTTTTCATTTAAATCAAATATACAATTAGAATAAAGGCATATTGGAAAGTTCCTGCTATTCTAAAAATATTTTGAGGGGGAAACAAAATTGAGGTTAGCAGGAAACAGAATGACCTGGAGAAGCATTTGCCAGCTATTCTCCACAAATAGGTGCTGAGTTTTACTTACCACTCTCTGGTCAAAGCCAGTAGGAATCATATGTCTACGGCTTCAAGCAGTGCTTCAATTAGGGGAAAAAATATCCATCGTATACCCTTCTACACGGGTTATTCAAGTAGAGGTCAATGTGCTTTTAATAGGACTGCACGTAGACACTGAACTCCTCGGAGCCTGAATGAGAGAAATGGTCTTGTTTAATATCATCTGTGCTCTTGGAAGTCCAAGGCTACTTCTGCATCAAGACTGATTAATTCATGCAAGATAACACATTAATACAAACAGCCCTACCTAACTGATTAAAAACAGGAGAGACGCAGATGGCGGGGGACTCACTGGGTGGTAGCAAGCCTGCTCACTGGACAGAGAAACCACCTCATGGCTGTGGCTAAAACCTGGTGGAAGCAGCTCAGCATCAATGCCTTGCAGCTCCTACACCATAAGAAGGCTGTGTGTGGCTACCACCTTGGATATATGGATGAAGAATTTGAGCTTGTCGGAGGTGGTGTAGCCAAGCTGGGTAACCTGTACAGTCAAGGCAAGGTCAAGCCCCAAATAGACTCTGTAGGGCCCTTTGATAAGGTGGCCGATCCCACAAGGCAGATACAAAAGGAGAATGTTGGAAAGGTCATCCTGGTTCCTGAGCCACCCAAGGAAGAATCCAAAAATGAAGATAACTGAGAAGAAGAGATGTGTTCAGATTGTGAACTCATGCTGGTACCTCAGCTGCAGACACAAGTGACGGGAGATCAAAAGCTGAAGCTGCTTCCCCTTTCTCCTGGTGCCACAGACTCGGCTGTGCTGTGCAAGGTTATTTCTAGGTGGTGATGAAGACCTTTTTGTCCCTAGCGTAAGCAAACAGGAGAGTGTGAATGCTTTAAGGAGTTCCTCTGTGAAAAAGAGAGTTTAGATCAGCTGCTCTTCACAGAATAGCACTCTGCGGTGGATTTACAGCACGCTTTCAATTAGAAACTTTAGTAAAGGAGATCTGTGTCAAATTCTAAATTTGCAGTCACTCAGATAAATACAAAGCTCTGTGTGCGTGTGTTTTTATATGTAGAAAACCGTGAGATTTCCAGATACCTGCACATGTCAGTGGACGTGAAACAAAAAAGTAGATAAATCCGGAGATGCTGTTTCACAGCACGTGTGCGCCTCTTTCAAAGTGCCAACCCGCACAGGGATGAGAGAGATAAGGACATGAGACACACACGTGGTGCGGAACTATAAAAAGCTTATATCCTCTTCCAAGCAAGATTCAAACAGGCACTTCCTTTTTTAAAAACAACAAATAATGGGTCATACAATGTGCACGGCTTGATGTTGAGGCTTTTTGAAATAGCAGTGAGAGAACTGGTCACACAGTGCCTGTTTTCTTGAGTAATGCTCTGCTGTTCACTGTTTCTGAAATACAGACATCTGTTGCCACTTGTGTTCTCAGTACAGTGGTCTTGCACTCCATGTGCAGGGACAAGGGGTTAATTTTATGAGGAAGAGAGGACTTGCTTTTGTTTTGCCTCAGCAAGTTGCTTGCTAGTGTGTCTTCTCCAGGTCAAAGGAGGAGCAGGAACGCTTGGGGAGGCAATCTCTTGAGACCATGTTAAAGCACACGTGGACTAACAAAACGTTGTTCCCGATCTTGAAGTACTTTGTAAATGTTGACTGTAGGTTATTAAATTATTATTAAGTTGTTATTATTATTGATCTCAAACAAGACATGAAGATTGCATTAACAAGGGCAGCGTGTGAGCTCTGGTGAAAGGGCTCATGCTGCGCCACTTTGCATTGGTTTACAAAGCAAAATTTGAGTGAGGAAAGTGAACTTTGCATTTTGCATCCTTTTTGTGGTGTGGCATTTGCCCTTCAGATAAGCATCACTGTTTCATTTGGCCGTATCTCCCTTGTTCCAGAGTAGTGGCGATGTGCACTGTAGACTGGTGCATAGCTCTCTCGCTTTACAGGGCAGGTTTTCTCAGGTGTGATAAATTAATATTCCAAATAGAACTTTCATCTTCAAGGCAGCAGATCCACTAGCTCGATTTCTGTCCCCACCTGCCCTCAGCTATGCTGTTCCTCTTCACCTCTGTCCCTTTCTGAATAAGATTCAGTTATTTAACAGTGAGTTTACCTCAGTACCTGTGTAGGACACCAACTAAATTTCAAAGCCTCTGTCAGACCAGCAGCACAACCCTGCCCTGCCATGCTAACTGATGGCTCTGCTCGAGACCACAGCAGGTCCAGCTGAGGCACAGGGAGCAGAGGATAAGTGAAGAGCTGAAACCCAGTTCCTTCTAATTCTTAAATGAATGCTAGGAATCCCTGACACATACAAGCTTATCATTTATTGGCTGTAATTTTCTCAACTAATTCCAAATTTAATGATAGCTTTCAGCTTTGGTTTTCTCTTCTAATTAATATACCAGTGACTATGTATAATCTCTGTGGAAAGTCAAAAGCAGTTTACATGATAATTACAGTGGGAGCACAGCACCTACTGTTCAAGATAGTCATCCACGAGGAAGTGCTTGCCTGACAGTTAAGGTGCTGAGATTAAATTGTACATCTTTCTTGTACTGTCCCAAAGCTATTTTATTAGTGGCTCAGCATGGTGGTGGTAAACTTCTGGGAAGGAAACAAAAGAACTGGAGAGGCCAAGGACAACCCTTTGCACATACAGCAGAGATTTCTTGGACGTGATGAACTTTTGAGTTTTTGGTGGACTCATTTTACATTTACCCCATCATGATGCAGTGGGTTGAAAATTCCTCTTTTGCACTGTGGAAGTTGCCTTGCATCCACTATTTTTTTCCAGGAGCAAATGAAAATGATTCTGCCTGAACAAAACAAAAGGAAAATCCAAGTGTCTGGTAGAAGCAGAATGCCTTTGCTCCCTCTGTTAACGCACAATTAGCATTGCTTATTTAATTTTAGACCCCTCCTCAGCAGGAATGACTAATGTCAGAGGGAGAGAATACACCATCTCGGTCTGTTGTCCAGTATGGAATGGAGTTGTGCATTAACTTAGACTGTCCCCATGAAGCAACTTGTGAATTTAATTTTGCTTTTCCTTTTGACTGTTGCAGCAGAAATATCTCAGGGTGGCACTGTGTTTTGCAGTCAGATTTATAGCAGATTGATGGAGAAGAAAACGAGACTGGTCTGCTCACACTTCTGATGTTGAACAGACCAGTAACACTGACAAGCACCCAGGGGAAAGGGGAATACAGGCATATTTGAGCAGCACTATTTAGTGGTTTTCATTTACAACAGAAAAATCAGGTTAAACCGTGAATATCTGTTTATTTCCTTTTTTGTGTTTGCTTGATTTTGTAGAAATGTGTGTGTATGGTTAGACTGGGAGAGAGGCACTTGCAATCATTTTGGATGCTACCTGGTGGTGATCAGTGGAGCCAACAGCAGCCTGCGTTACCAGCAGACACTCAACAGGAAAACGTTACCTTTTGTTGCTAAAGTCTCTAAAGGAGAACTTTGTGCTTCCATTAAATCATCAAAAAAAGGCATTTATTTAAGAGCCACTCCATTTAGTAACTCAGTTCTTAAATCCTGTTTGCCCTGAAGTTTGGATAGCTCGTTGCCTGCGATGTCCACCCTGCTGTAAGAGGCGGGGTACCCTGGCTGATACGATGAACACAATTCAGAGCATCAGGACAACGTTAATGCCACTGTTGATCTCCCAGGAAGCATATGGAAGGTGCTGAGGGGTACTTGCTCACAATTAAAGATATTAAGCTAAAAGGAAATGCTGTGGGTGGATGAATGTTTTCATATATAGGCCTCGTTTGCAAAAAATGAGTGATTAAACTGAATCTAGTCTCTCTATAGTACTTTGGTGGTTAAGTGAGAAGGGAAAAGATGTCTTGGAGGTCTGTGATGGAAAACATGAACATTAACTCAGAACAGGAACTCCTCATGTCCTTTACAAAATGCAGATACCTCTAGTAGATACCAGCTCCACTGGAGAAAGGCGTTAGGAAATGTCAGTTAACTTTTTATTTATTTCAGTATAGGACTGTTGTCCACCATCTCCCTGCTCCGTGCACATTGCTTCTGAAATGTGGTACTCAGCAAATTTTGAGGTTTTTTGTCTTTTTGTTGTTGGTTTTAGATTGACAAGTATGCTCAGCGGGATCTGAAGAAAGGGCTTCATTTGTATGGGACAGATGGAAATATTGGCCTAACTAATGCATGGAGCATCATTCAAACAGATGTAAGTCTGAGCTTTTTTTTTAATTCCTCTTTGCCTTCTGAGTTCTGTAACAGCAGGTTCTGGGTATGAACCTTATTAAACCTCCAGATTTCAAGCCAATCTCTTCCACCCAGTCAGCACATTAGCAAGTAAACTCTGCTTTTTGTAACAAATGGTAATTTTAATTTATTTATCCGTTGACCAGATTAGCTTATTTCTTTAAAAATTTATATTGTGTTGATGCCTAAATATCATATAGTTTTGTGCTGTGTGGAAAGTGAAGGAGATGGTCAGCCAGGAAACAATCAGTATGTGCTCTTTAAAGTCAAAGGGAAAGGATGTTGGAATGAAGAGCAATAGTGCAATAACAAAGAATGACTTCAACCCCTTTTCATTTCTGTCCTGTCTCCTTCTGTTGCTGTTGTTGGTTTCCACTAGTGCAGTCAAAGTGGAAACCAGCCATGGTGTTTCCAACCTCCTCCTTACAGTCAGTACGTTTTTCCCGGCAGAATTCAATCATCCTCCATCACAGATGGGCTGGGAATGCTTTTTGCTATGTTGCCACTGCTGTTGCATCCTTCTGATGCTGACAACACTCTGCCAGTGTTTGTCTCACAGGGACCGGTGAACACTATAGCTGGCTTCCTCTTTTTGTCCTTGTCTGGCTTGCTGAGGAAACACCATCACTGACAGTTCAGGTTTGTTAGCTTTGTCCTTCTCTTTTCATATTCAGTTCAATTCTCTTGGGGGTGATCTTTCTGATTTGATCTTCTCTGCTTCTTGAATGAGGAAAAGAGTTCCAACATTTCTTCTGCTTTAGGAAGAAGCACTTGTACTGCCTTGGCTTTGCTCATAAAATCTTGCATAGCTTTCTCAAATTCTCTTCCAGAGGTGCTAGTGTGGTACAGACAGACAAGCAGGGCTTTAGTCTTGCCTCTGATGTCTTAAATCGGCCAAAGATGATAACCTCTCCCAATGCTTCCAAGGTTATATGAACTATTTGAGGTGATGGATGAGCTACCTACCACATGCTGATAGGATAAACCTGTTCGTTTACGCTTTACTTCCTTTGTTGCCATTTGGGCTGAAATGCTGAACATCTTTCAGTCTGGTAGTGTCAAGATTCACACATACTCTTCTGTACAATACAAGATAACAGGAGCAGCAGGCTGCTAAGAAAAGGGCTGAGAAATTAAAAATTTGAGGTCACCAACAGACTCCATCTGGGGCTGGTGGAGCTGTCTGTATTGAGGGCAGTCGGTTGACAGCAACAGTCCTGCGTGTGAAAGACAGACAGCTCAAGCCCAGCAAACGAGCTAATAAGCCTCCCAGTCCTGCACGCTGACAATTGCAGGTGGTCTTTCAGTTACCCTTAAAAGACAGGGTTTTTGTCTGCAAGAAGTAGTCTTGTTCAGTGACAAGCTTGGGTTTGAGGCAGGACTCAGTAGTCTGTGATCTGTGTAGTGCTACAGATCATGCTCAGTTGTCTTAATGATTCCTTTGGCCTTGAAACCTGCTACAGTTTAAAGAGTATCTTAGAAGTTTCAGATGAAACTGATGTTAGCTAGGTCTTAAGAGCCCAAAAGATAATAGGAAAGTGCCATCTCACAAGCCATGTACAGTCACGTTACATCACTCTCTTTTCTAACATGGCAACTATGAAATTACCATGTGCTGTCTTGACAGCACCATAGTGTTAAAGTTTCTGGGCTCCCTGTGCTGGGCACTGAGCAGAAAAGCAAAGAGCTCCCACAGATCCATTTTTACCGCTCTGCATAATTAGTTTTCACATGTCTCTTTCAAAACTGTTTAGGAATAGACTATTGCAGTGGTGCAGAGAAGGCAATCCCAGCATGGTTAATTATGTAAAACACTTTGCAGTTGAATAGTGCTGTGTAAATGCCAAGTACTATTTTTTGTGTTCAGTAATAATCATTATCCCTTACATCCCTAATCAGTAGAGTTGTAATCACTGATAGGAGGATTAGGGCAATACAGAGAACTTTCTGAAAGGGAAGTCCCAGCCCAGGCTTGCTGTTGGCATCCTGGCTCCTAAGAGACAGCTCTCAGAAACCCCCACGTTAGAGCTCTCAGAAACCCCCGCTACGTTGCCACATAGGACAGTCTCAACACTGACTTTTCTACAGGCTCAGTAGACACCAGTCCTTGGTTGAGCTATGGACCGTGTCTGTATGTGGATGGAAAACAGCAGCCTCAGAAAAAAACATGACGTGGAAAACATGACAGTAACAGAAATCATGAGTCCTTCTGCTTGTCCTCTCTGCATTCACATTCCTTTCTTTGCAAAAGTATTTCTCAGCGCTTGAGCAGAAGGATGACACTGTGGTTAAAGCAGTAGGCTCAGACATGAGGGATCCAAGCTCTGGTGTAGTTCTTCATTTCTCCTACTATTAGCTTAGATAGCGACCGTCCCCACCCTGAGATCACTGACTGTCTATGGCAACTTTTGCTTAAAGAAGGGGAAAAAAGTTTTTCCAGAAATAGAACCACAGTTAGATTTGATTTCTGTGGGATTGTCCGAGGGGAGTTTTGGCTGGGAGCATGGATACCCAGCGTGCACACAGTGACTTGTGAGCGGTGATTACTGCATTTCAAGTGTGAAAGGCCTGAGCACATCTTCTGGGGGGCAGTTTCTTCTCTGAAGCCTTTGTGCCTTGAGAAGTGGTTTTCCTCTTTTTAACAGAGGCATACAATTCCTAAGTGACTGGGAACGCGTTAAAAATAGGGTCCGTTGGGCCCATCTTAAAGAGGAAGTTGCAGTTTTCATCCACGCAGTCATATAATGCATAATCATATAATTTCATCCATGCAGTCCTGATGAAGGAGGTGGGCTGGGCTGGGCTGCACACATGCAACACATGTTAGAGGAAAAGCACTCAGCTCATTTTGCAGTTGTTTTAAGCCTCTAGGTCAGGGTGCTGTTTCAGATTAGAACATTTCATTGATTTCTTTTTAATACCTTCAGCTAACCAAACTCACAGCCTTTCTCAATAGTGTTTCAAACCTCAAAAGGATTAGAAACACAAGCAGGTGACTTTTGCATGTCATGACTGAAGATTACAAAAACTTACAAAGTGATTTTAAACATGACTAAAATTCTAATAGTTTAGGATGTAAGTTACCCTGAAACCAGGACTGGTTAAAGTTACAGGAGGAAATGAGAAGTAGGCATTAATTTTTAAAATTTGCTTCAGCCCCAACACCTTTGTGATCAATATTTGAACACTTCTCCTTTTAACTAACCAGGCAGTAATTTGAGAGGCATGCAGAGAACGCATTAGCTTCACTAAAGTGAGCAAATTCAGCTCGCTTTTACTGCTGTGTAATGCCTTTCATCTCTATTTAGACCGGTGTAACTGGGAACAAATTAGACCCATCTTCCTCTACCCCAGTCATTGATTCTGTTAGATCAAACCATACTTTAGGATTACTGCTGAAGCAATCCAAACCCACCCAGTAAACATGATTTTTAGAATAAAACTCTTATACATGACTTTCTGAAGTGATGGAGGAAAAAGGTGTATAAAAGGCACCTACCCTGTCCCCCAGTTCTCTGTCACATTCACAAAAACAGAAAATTGGGAATTGCTAAAGCCAGTCTGCAACAAGGATTGGGTGTCTGTTTATTTTCATGAATCCTATCCCAGCCTGTCTGATTTTGCAGGAATTTGGCAAAGAAAATAAGCCCTACTTAGCCTTCAAAACTGGACTTGCTTGTAAAATACGTATAAGAATATCAGCTCCACAACATTTCTGTTGCACAAAGATAGAAACTTGGTGTTTAATTAATTACCAGCCCTAGATACCCCATGCTAGAGCAGCAATTACTTGTTCACACAAAAATTAAGCTTCTTGCAAGCAGGGTTGCATTCCATAAATACAGGACAGAGACCTCAGAGCTGCTCGGTGTGGCTTGGCTGGGAAACGCGCCCCGAATGCAGCACAACCTTTGACTGCATTGCTGTGTCGAGCAGCCCCGGTGTGTTCCGAGCTCTTGGGAGCCAATGAGCCACTTCAGAACCCCACGGGTAATCAATAGGGGACTCATGTCTGTCTCTTTAACAAAGGAAGGGGGGGAAAAGTGTTTTGACATCTTGCAAGACAGACCCTCCCATGTGAAACGTGAAACAGCAGCATATTGTCACTATTCTGGGAAATGTTCAACAGCAGGAGCTTGGATATTGAGAGGCATTCAACAAGCTTTTGCTTGTTTGAGCAACTCTGACAAACACTGCCCGATCATCACCTCATGCCGTAAGTACCCACGTTTGTTCCTGTGGGCAGGCACAGTCGCTTCTCATCATGCTCCTTCCCAGCTGTGAGCCCTACAATCAAGGGGCCTGAGGTGTCCAAGTCAAGGGGTCTTACAGTTACTGCTATTCAAGACAGTAGCTGACTTTTTTAACAGGTTACTCCCTTTTCAAGTGTGTTAGTCTGGGTATGCCAAAATCAGCACTAATAGTTTGTAATTGTTTCTAAAAAACGTAAGTGTATTGTTCCCTGTTTAAACTAGGAACAGAACTATTAGGCAACCTTGTCTAATTTTATCACTTAACTAGTGAAGGAAACAAGACAGGACCGTAAATGTGACCCAAAAAATGAATGTGGTTGTAGCAAGAATCAAGTCTGCAATTGCTTCATGACAGGCAGTTTAACTTTCTGGCACTGGCAGAACAGCGACCTTTGTGGAGGAACATGAAGTCTGGTAGAACTGGCTACAGCAAACTGCTGGTGACAGAAATTACCCTTCATGTGACCTGAGCTTTCTTCATCCTCCAAGTGTAGGACTGTCTCCAACTATCCTTGCTCCGAGACCTAGTAGATTTTAAAAAGAGAACATTGCTGTCAAATCTAAGTGGACTCTAAAAAAATCCTCTTTTTCTGCTCTTTGTCCTCAATATTCCCCTTTCTTCTAACAGTCCCTCATCTCCCTCGACAATCTGGCTACTTATTGTTCAGCTTCATGCACACAGGATAAATCAGTTGCTTGTCACATTATTCAAAAATCACTCCCACACTCCCTTTCCTCTACTTAGGCCTCCGTAATGAATTTACTGAGCTCTCACTTATCCGTCTTTTTGGCTCTAGCTGGACCCCTTTGCTGAATCTATAGGGGTGACCCATGGAATCCCACTGCTGCTTGTTTCCTTGTTCTTGCCTCTTTGACCTACTGCCATGGGTCAGTGTCTCTGCTCCCTAGAGATGCCGTTCACTGGACTTGGTCTTCGTTGAGCACTGCCAGCTCACTCAGTCGTGCGCTCTCTGGTCTCTGGGGTGTTAGTACTCTTTTCTCACCTCCTCTCCTTTAGGATTGTGCATCATCCACTGCTTAATTCCATCACTCATTCTTCATTTGTCTACCAAAGACATGACATCTCTTCCAGCTGCAGTTCCAGACATTATTTCTTCCAGCCCTAAGACTATTGATCCTCATACTACTTCAGTCTTTTTTTTACCCTTGATCTTTTCTTAGCCCTTTCTCCCATTGCTGGGACTGCCTCAGCTGCCAGCAGGCAAGTATCAATATTTATTCCTCTGCTCTTGTACAACACACAGAGGATCTGTGTGGGCAGGCAGTGTGTATCCAACTGCAGCTTGTCTTTGCAACTGCATCCCCTCCTAATTTCTACCTTCTTGCTTACTCTTTGGAGTCCCAACCCTAGATCATGACCTAGCCACCTTCTGCTTCACAGGCTCCATAGGAGCCTCTGGCCTCCACCTGTTAGTGAGCCCTTAACTCCAAAACCTGTACTTCATCTTCATCTCCTTAGTCTGTCAGGCTTTGACATGCTCAGCCATGCAGTATTACAGGGAGAAGGGGTCTAGTCCCGATTTATGCAAACTTGTGTCACTTGTATTTGGCCAGAACATCACTCAAATGTCTCAGCCCTTACTGTTGCACTCTCTACATCACAGATGAGCCACATTTTCAAGGCTTGCTATTTACAAGCTGTCACTTCTCACTGTCTATCAAAGAGCTGCCTCCTGACTCTAATGATGACAGCCTGAAAGACCTTCTTGTGAGATTTCCAGATAAACCAGCTTTCCTCAAATGCATGCCATGTGTTTCATGCTGCTCCTATCCACTTTTGGGACCTGTTACGCACGGAGCTCCTGTCATATGTGCAGAAACATAGAGGAAAAAAAGAAAGTCACAAACTTTTTTTACTTTCAAGTCAGTTTGTAGAAAACGAAGCTGGTAAACTCACAAATCAAACAGTTTCAAGCCAAGGACTGATTCCTGCCATGGGCCAAATGAAGATTCTGAGCAGATCCTTGGGGGGATAGATGTTAGTCTGGGAAAGATTTCTGAATTTTGCTTGGCAGCAGAAAAACAGTGCTGTGAGCTCTGGAATGTCTCTGCTGTGGAGCATTTTCTGTGAGTGCCTGAAGCATCATCTGAGGCGTAAGGCAGTGTGTGAGGCCCCTGCCCTCTGTCAGTGCTGTGTGATGGGTCCTGCACATGCCCCTGGGCCTGGACACTTGGCCCACTGCACCCACAGACTCCTCAACTTTGACAGTGTAAACATCGGGATTGAATTAGGTGCTTGGTCCTGGTGATGCAGACATCTGCGTGACTAGAGTCTATCAAGAAACAAGAGGAACGGTTTCTATAGGGATGCAAAAAATTCTGTACAGGCTTATATAAAATCACATTTAAAAAATAAGCTTTTGGCAAGTAATTTTGGGGCTGTGTAGGTGGCTGGCATAGCCTTGAAAAAGTGTGAAGTATTGCCAATACCAGAGAGCAGTTCTGCAGCCCAGTGTCGTCTTGTTTTACTCATTAGTGGTAAAGTGTCTAAATACCGACAAATTTGAGTTGGCATAGGAGTGACAGATGGTGTATACATCTATATGGTAATGAGTCTGAGCTAATTTTGTATCACAGGGAGATACCAGTTCCGAAAGGGGGAAGATGGTCACAGAGCCGTTCCCTGTACCGTTAATGTGTATTTCCTACACCTTACATCCTGCTACCAAACCTTTTGATTTAGCACTACCATAGTCAGTGTAGGGAAACACTTAAACCGCCCCTGATTAGCAGCAATTAGACATTAAAGAACTGCACCAGAGAAGGGAATATATCTTTTCCTGACTGACAAAGACTGTCCAAGTTGATCAGTAATTAACAGCTTAGAGATAAATTTGCCTTGTTACCCTCAATCATGATTTCAGAAGTAGTGTGCTGTAGCGATCCCAGTATCTTCATCTCCTGGGTGCTGTATCTTAAATAGTACTTTTTCCTCACAACAAGCTACAAATGATTGTTAGAAACCTGCTCAGTCACATCAGCTCTTAACCTTGGTACTTGGCTGGGGTTGTGCTGTTTCAGCTCCCGCAGTGTCCTGCCACTGCACATAGGTGCCTTTGCTTCTTCTGTCATCATTAGTGACGTACAAGACTGTATTTAAACGTAATAGAAGAGTGGGCGAAAGGGTCTATCTGGGTAAAGCTGAGGAAACAATACTGTATTTCTTCAAATTTTCAAGCCTCTGCTGGTGTAATTGAAATGCACGGAGCGTCCAGCTCCAGGAGGCAGAAGTCAGTGCTAGATCGTACTTACAGTATCGTCTCGGTTCTTCTTTCTCCAGTTCAGATGCTGTGGAGTCTCCAACTACACTGACTGGTTTGAAGTGTACAATGCAACCCGGGTGCCCGACTCCTGCTGCTTAGAGTTCAGTGAGAACTGCGGCCTCCACTCCCCGGGGACCTGGTGGAAAGCGGTGAGCAGCCCAGGCGCAGGGCAGGCAGGCAGCCATGTGCGGGGCTGTACAGATGAGAAGGGCTGCCCTGCCCCTACTCATCGCTAATTAGGTGGTTTCGGGAGGCTCAGGTTGAGCTGTGGCATTTGGCCTCCAGTGAAACCGCCAATGTAACTGTTTTTACGAGCGGAAGGCTTTCCTTTCCCTAGGCTCCAAGCTGTTGTTTCACACTGCAGACAAGTACCTTCCGACAGCAATCCGGAGCACAGTCCAGCTAGAGCTGGCTAGGAGACAACAGGATTGTCCTTTTTAATGTCCCACCTACTGGAGTCAGACAAAGGGCTCGTCCACACCCACAGCACGAGCCCCGGCGCAGCAGCCGCAGCCTGCAGTGGCCCAGGGAGCCGTGAGGCTCTGGGGGTGCTCTGCTCCCCCCAGGCCCCCTCGGCCAGGGGCTCCCGTGGCACAGCCGGAGGGTGGGAACTGGCCCACTGAATGGCCAGCAGCACTTTTATGGCAATGAGTTTCCGCACTTGCCTGTAATCACATTCAAAACTCCATGGGATAATTTCCCTATGATGTCCTCAACAAGATCTTTCCAGAGCATATTCAGAGCCTAAATTCTTCTCTGAAAGCAGCTCAGCGACTCTTTGTGCTAATTGCAGGTAGTGCAGTCACCCAGTCAGGCTGTGGAGTAAGGTCATCTGATGAAGTGGAGTTATGAGGAAGTTTTGCTGGTTCTAATGGTTTGTGAAGACAAGGAGTGAAGTTCTCTTGGCTGCTTTCTAGTGAGATACCTATTCATGGATTAGCACTGGCAGAGGCCAAGTTCCACACAAACATGGCTCCTTCCTACCGTGCCAATAGCTCCAAGTCAAATTTTGAATTTAAGGATTTAAAAGTTGTTCTATTTTATTTGGGGTACCGTGCAGATTAACACTATGTCTTTTGGTGGGCACTAATAATTTTTCCGTCATACATATGTGAAAGCCACTAACAATGACTGTTGGCTTTGTACATTTACAAGACAGAGGGCACAGTTTTTGCACAAGGTTGTCTCACAGACATTATTTATTATTTATACATTATTTAAAGTTTCCATTTAAGCCAATGCCACCCTCCCCACAGCTGGGCCAGGAACATGAGGTTGCAGCTAATGCAGAATTTAAAGCAGGAGAAAATAATAGAGGAGTGCCCAGACGGCAATTTGAAATGCTGGAAAATGGCATGAAATGGGTCCATGGGCAGCAGGAGCAGCTACTGAGCAGCTCTAACTGGAACTTTTGGGTTTGATCTACATATATATTATAATATATATTTGTTTTCCTGAAATATGGAGAAAATGAAAGGCTCATTCTGAAGTTCTAACTGCTTCTAGTTTTTTAGAAGACAAAGAGAACCCAGATGTACTGCCTGTTTACTTCTCGTTACTGGCCCAATTTCTGTGGAGCAGGCTCCTGCGCCATTGTGGAGGTGCAACACTTTGTGTCGTTACAATTAGCACTCTACAGTCAAGCTTCAGCCCAGACGCAGAGAGTAGTTGCTCCAAGGCTGAAATGCTAACCTAGCCAGGCTAGCTAGCAGCTTAGTCTGAGCTGGCTCTTATTCCCAGGGGAGCAGAGATGCACGTTTATGGCTAATACAATATTCTGGGTTGTTGTTTTTTTTTCAGCCTTGCTACGAAACAGTGAAAATATGGCTCCAGGAAAACTTATTAGCAGTGGGAATCTTTGGATTGTGCACAGCTATGGTGCAGGTACAGTTTAATATCAATTTTCAAATCCTAATTAATCATAACTAAATCATCATTATGGTTCCAGTGTCCAAGCTGGTTATGTTAGAATAAAACTCCACAAGATTTAAGTCTTTTATGTTTTAATTTAGTTAAAATAACATGTACAAGGTACAGAACTAGGAGTATTTCACACATCATCTGTTTTAGGATGCAGTGCAAAGAGCAGGCAGTTTACCAAGCAGTTTACCTAAGGCCTAGCCTAGACTCAGGGGGGAGGTGGTCCCCACCCTCCCGACAGAGTTCTAGTCAGGGTAGGGTGAATTGCTTTCTTTGGTACATTTACAAGTTGGGATGTTGTTACTATTACTGAACCTTGCTAATAAAACCATTTTCCTTTTCTGTTAATTGCAGGGAAACTAGGTAGCTAAAATTGACCTAGACTTGCTTATCAGATTTTTCACCTGCAGCTATTTCCAACATAACTTTGTTCAGAGAAGAATTGGTCATCAGTGTAGTACCTTGTCACTCAGGTACCTGTGTCTGTCTTTAATCCACCTTGCCGTGGTTGTGGCCATAGCATAACAGCACACACTGTAGCCTGAGTGGACACAGGTGAAAGCTTGCTGGAGCTCAAGGGCTTTCAGTGATGTCAGCTCTCCCTTTATGGCCCAGAGCCCTATTCTTGAGTGCAGTGAGGATGGAGTTCTAGTTTCCAGCTCTACCTCTCTCACACTCAACCTCTAAGAAGAAAGGATGGTATCACCAAGCTAATTATTACCACATAACTCCAATGGGTTTTTTTTTAAATTTTGCATGGTATACCACTAGCAGCAGCCAGAGAGCGCCTGGGATCAGAATTCTACTCCCGTTCCCACTAATCTCAGATTAGGCTGAACAGCATGTATTTTATTCTCTCATATATCACATATTAGCTGTAATTTATTAATAAAAATTTATTAATGCAAATACCTGACTCCTCATTGGCCCAAATTCAGTAGAGTTTTGGGTTTTGTTTTTCAGTATAGTGAACAGATATGCTTAGGGAAAGATGAGCACAAGATCATATGGCAGAGACAGGATGTAAGACTGTTGTTAATGTATTACCCTATTTAAAAAAAAAAATAAATTGAGCATCTAGTCAGCATTTAGTGAGTCCTCCTCATAGACTTTATTATATTTAGGGTATCTGAGAGACTACTATGTTTCTGACAAAGACATTACCGTTTGCATGGGAGAAAACACTTCAGACAATTTCAGAATGCTAATTAATATTCCTGGTAAATGCTGTGAAATACAGAGAAAACATCTCAAAATACAGTATTCCAGCTGCACTACATGATTGAATCTAATTGATGACAAAAAATTTTGATGCACTGTCACCTGAAATGAATTGGGCTCCCTCCATGTTGATGTTACAGTGTTGTTCTGGCCCAAAACATGCGACAGCTTTTGTTTTTCATGGTAACCACCTTATCATTAGTGACACAACTTGAAGGACATACAGCACATGTGGCAGAAGAATCTTCTTCAGTCATGCATGCTCAAAATTATAAAACAAATTCAGCCACCGAGGTTTTATCATGCAGCTTGAGCCTGAAGGTTATTCCTTTGCTAGGAAGTAGAAGGCAGTGGTCAGGGGGTGCTTCCAAAAGGCATGTGCTTACTGTAAAACAGCATGCTAAAGCTTAACAGTCTTATTTCACTGTGGGGGAAGAAGGGGAAACGAAGAAGCTAACAGCTTTATAACCATTTTTTTCTCTTAATAAATAAAGTAGTATGTGTGTTATTCGTGTACTCTGTTGAAATACTCATTAACAGGAATTACTATTTATGTAAAGATTAACTTTGAAGCAGTCAAATTAACTGCTTAATACAGAATTCATACAGAAAGTTTCTACCTGGCAAATCTTTATTTCAATGATAATTTTTACAGTGGCATTGCAAAGGAATCGTAACAACCATTTAGTACATTTGTATAAGTATGTACTTCAAATGGAAGGAAAATAAGAGTATTTTCCCCTCCCCTTCCCTGATGAAGCAATCTACCAGAGGCAGCACAGCAGGTCAGTAGCTGGGCTGGGAGAAGGACCACCACCTCCCTGCTGCTTCTCCTGAATAGGCCGAGTAGAAAGACACATACATTGTTGATGAGGCACTGATGGTTATGATTAATGCATGGACAGTCTCCAGTGATTCCCCCATGGAGACCTGTGCACACATATGCTTGGAAAAGTAAAGCACAGTAAAGTAAACCACGGCATCCTTTGGGTCAGGGATGAGCGTGATTGACTTTCAAAGCAATAGCTACAGGGATCACCACACAACCCCACAGCTGTGGGCTGCTACTATAAAATATTTTTGAGCAAAAGACATCCAAACATTTCTTTTCAAATGTACCTCTTCCCAGTACCTGGTGGCTGCTTTTCATGGAGAAATCAACTCTGCCGTGCTCTCATTGTTCATTCTGTAAAACAGCAATACAGATAAGGACAAAAAGGCAGAAACCAGGAACAGAACAAGGACATTAACTGCCAGGAAAAGCAGTATGTCATGTGTCTTCCCGTGTGCAAACAAAACCAGTATAAACATGCTTTTCTCTTTTTTTTTTTTCTTCAATAAATAGGGGAGGCTTTTTTACTTACTGAAAAACAATTGTGTTTTTTTTTTTCTCTTAGATTCTCGGACTCACCTTTGCAATGACCATGTATTGTCAGGTAGTCAAGGCAGACACCTACTGTGCATAGATACCATTCCCAGTCTTTCTGCTCCTCCTCCAAAGGACACAGGAGAAATCTCCTTCATGCTCATTCATCTGACTTTTTTTTTTCCCCTTTGTACTATAAACTGTGTATAATGCTATCTTTCTGAAGATTTTGTGAATCACCCCATTTTACTGAAGGAGGAAGAAAAGAAAAAGTCAGTACTTGAACTGGCACAGGTAAGAAGCAGCCTTGTCTTTAAACAGAAAAAAACCTCCAAAGAGCAATGGTTCCTCTTCCATGGCCTTTGGCAAAGGAGGCTGTTTGAGGGGCTGATCTGCAAACCAATGATAGGAAAAGATTGCACTGAGGCAACCTCTGTGAAACCTGCCACGTTGCCTTCCTGCATTTCACGGTCTGGAAGAGAGGGCACAGAAAATGAGTATTCTTCAGCATGGGAAGAAGGTACAGAGTGGCTAGCACTGAATGCAATTGTAATTTTACTACAGTTTGCACACAGGTAAAATGTCACGATCAAGCAGCCCTGCCTCCAAGTGTCTCAAGACAATTTTGTAGCCAGGAGAGAGGATCATCTTCAGAAATATGTTATTTTCAAGGAGTATTTTTAAACCTATGTGCTGCAAAGTCAGGCTTTTAATCAGAATCTGTACAGTGAGATCTGGCTGTTAAAGGAAAACAATATTGGACATTGTCTCACTTATTAATTGCCAGGGGCATATAGATGGTTTACTGTATATGTAATATATATTACATTCATATACACATACTGTTCTGCAAGGAGGTGAGAATACCCAGCATCTAACCTCAGAAAGAGGGAACCTTTCTATCCTATTTTACATTCCAACTGAAATAACTGAGCATTATTTCTTGTAGGAGGCACTATCACTTATACCTCTGGGAAACAAGTAATTACTTTCAGCTGTATCTTCATTTCAGTAAACAACTTGTGAGTGGGCTCTGTCATTCTACTATGGTTTTATTTTTTATCATCCCTGTTTCAAGTTAGTCTGCCAAAAAATATCACTCATTTCCACACTTGAAGATCCGTACAAAGCTGTCAGCTGTTCCTTCCCTGAATGTCACCATTTCATTAATTTACTTTGGGATATCATCATCTGCAGGTATGATAGAGTTCGCCTTGCTGAGGAAGAATCTTTTGCTCATCGCTCGTTTTTCTGAGAGTTATTAAGACTTCAGATGTTTACGCTTAGCTTTTTTTTTTTTTTATCCCCAGCTGCACTCTTACATCAGCCAAGGCACATCAGTCTTTGTTAGAACTGGAGTCACCTCTTGGTTCTATTTTTCAGCCCCATTCTCCCTCTGCCTGGCTGTTGGCTATAATATGCCCCCCACTTTCTGGAAGTTGCAGAAATCAAAATAATAACTCTCCTTAGCCAGAAAACAGCCACCAATTGTCCAGTTTCCCCACCCGTATTGGTAACTGAAGTTACCAATCATCCTTCTGTGCACACCTTCTAGTGATGAGGTTAAGAATCAGATGTTTCCTATCGTTCAAACAATTCCTCATCAGGAAGCAGCCCCGGGTAACACACATGTGACAAGGGAGAAGCAGAAGCACCCCAGCAAAAGGACACAGCAGGGGACAAGCAAACAGAGCAGTGCAGCTGCCTGGCTGCCCACAGCCAGCCCTTGGGACCCCTCAGCCACGGCAGCAGAGCAGAGGTACAATCACTGTGCCCTGTTTTCCCAGAAAGCTCAAGGCAGCCATTCCTTCCTTCTGTGACAGACTAGAAGCATGCGTCAAGTTTGGGAAAAAAAGTTACCCTGTACTTTTAGTGCTTACAACAGGTCTCAGCTATGAGTGACGTTCTGCTTACTTTAATTTAAAAGCAATTTCCAGCAGTAAAGCCAGACTCACCAAGTCACAGCCTATTGAACAATCTCCCCAACACCCATAAGGAACCCTCTTCTGGACTTGCACCATTGACAAACACTGCTTAGGTTTTGGGGCTTTTTTCCCCTCTTTGCTGATTTCCTCTTCTCAACCTCAGGCCCGAACTGCTCCATGTTTTGAGGGGAAGTGCTTAGGACAGCCTGGTGTGTGAAATAGCAAATATCTTCCAAAATCTTACACCCCACCTTTATGCATCAACCTGTGTAGTGTGGGGCATTTAGCTGTGCAGGCTAAATTGAAAATAATGTATTACTTATGTGCATTTTATGGGGCTTCCCAATCAATTCCATCACAGCAGCTTCGCCCCCACTGAAGGGTTTTACTGCCGTGCTAACAAGCCTTGACAATTAACAGACCCACCTTGGCCCAAGACAGAAATGTCAAACGTTAAACTGAGTGAGTACCCACACCCAAGCACCCCATACCTTGGGGTAGGAGACTTACTCTTGGTGTTACACTCGCCACAGCCTCAATGCCCTCTGCCTCCTGAGCCCACGCTGACCTGTCCACAGTCCTGCATTCGGTCATTCCCTTTCAACTCTCTGTTCCTTTCCTACAGTTCCAGGTTAGATGTCCAGATTAGTTCTTGCCACAGCTTATGTGCACACAGGTGCTCCTGCTGACAGCTCAGTTTCCACCACTGAGAAGCAGCATAACAGAGTGATGAATAGATTAATAAAACATTGATTTTTTTAAAGCAAGATAAAAGGTAGACAAGTCTATTTGTAGTGATCCCTGCCATTAAAAATTAACACAGAGACAGCAGGCTGATGATGGCTCAGTTGATGAGCAAACTGTTGTGCAGCAGAGCTCCCACAGAAGGCAACTCTCATCAATTTGCCTGATGGTGGTGTAGGGAGAAGAGAGATCACAAACCCTCATCCTGTGAGTCTCCCAATAATACATGCTGAGCTCTTAGACAAGACTGCTAGACTTCAGCTAAACCTACAGAACAAACAAAATGAAAAACAGAGACTGAAGACAAGGAACCACAAAGCATGATATATAATATTTTTCCACAGTTTAGGTGTCTTTATAACAAGCTCCTGCCTCAATATTCTAAAATATGTATCTATAGGGAGTATAAGCACTATTCACACTGTAACTCCCGGTCACTGCAACAGAAACATATGGCACTAACTACTGAAAAGAAAGAGGAAGGAAGAAAAACGGAAAAAAACCCAACCTAGAACACACATTGCTGCTAATAATTAGTTTTTTAAAAACTTCCCTTACACTGCCAACTGAAAAGCTACTGCAACTTGGTTTATAATTTTATAATTTGAACTGAACTGTTTTCTATATTTGATGTTATTAATTCTCTTCACACAGGCCAAACATATGTTTTGGTGCTTCAAGCATCACCAGCACAATCCACTTTCAAACCAATGAACATACTGCTTATAACAACTTATATTTTCTTTTTAAAAGGATTGCATCCTTTCAATGCAGATAAAGTCAGAATATTTTGTGATATGTAAAAGAAACAAGTTTTTTTAAAAAACCAAAAAAGATAGTTCTATATTATGCATAAAAATCCATGTTGAAGTGTTTCATTATAAATAAATACCCAGTAGTACATAACAGCCATTTAAAAGGCTGCTTGAATCATATGTATGGAGAGCAACACAGAAGTCATTCCAATTGCTTCCATCAGCGTTTTGTCACTTCCAGTAAAGTCTTTTATATTAACTTCTTTATCTTTAAACATGGAGGACTTTATACATTTAAATTAAAGACAGAACCAAAGGTTGCAAAGACATTGAAGGAAAGCCTTCCAAACTTATACTCATTGCTCTTTCTGCTTAATAACAAGATCTGAAGGCACAGGATGCATGGCTGGACCAACTGAATTCAGCAACATCAGAACTTAGCTTATGGATTTTTATCTTCACAGTTATATATGTAATAGAATATGGTTTATTTTCCTGTACAGTAACTGTCACAGCCAAATTTTATTTCTTGTACAACAGAATTATTTAGCTCCACATCTTACACTTAACACAATCACTGAACTTCAGTTTCTGTTCTATGAATACTTCTTTGTTCCTCCCCCTCAAATAATAAAAACTCATGAAGGTTTATTCTTCCATTTAATAATTACCATTTGAAAGCAGCATTGTATGATTTATAATACAGAGAAGAAGGAACTGCACAGCAGCTGTAAAAATATTTAATCCTGCATCAGCAATACGGCTGCTACACAAATCCACCCAAACTTCTCACAAACTGGGTAAGAGCTGGTTACATCTTCCAGTGCACACAGCTCCCAGCGGCCTCTTCCCCCCATTGCCAGGCAGGGCAGGAGGTTGTTGGCATGGAGAAAGTCCCAGCCATTCGCTCACCCCTTAGCTTCATTGTTGCGCTATAAAGGTGGCACCAAAGGTAAGCAATGAAAACCAGCAGTTATTTTAAAACCAGACTCTTTTATTAACTTTGAGTGCAGGGATTCTCACTAGGTGTGAGTGATCTTCATAGATACAAAATTAGACAATTCACAGAAAGAAAACAAGTCAGGGCTCGCCCTGGAAAATTTTGTTTGGATTCCATTGTGAATTCTCCCAGATTGTCACTGATATCTTACACAGTGGGCAGGTGTCCTCAGTTCTTTGGATTCTGTCACTGCAACTACGATACATTTTTGTGCATTCATATAAAGAACAAAATTTAAAATATAGATTTTATTTTTTAAAAGTTATTAAATATTCTTTAAAGTTTACAACAGAATGTCTTCTGTATTCTTTATAATCAACTACACTACAAGCTATAGTGAGTATATAACATACCCAAAGATGTGTGTGCAAGTGTGCACACATGGTGTACTGCAATAAAAAAAAAATCCATGGCATACTTTGTCATTTTTCATTACCTATCTTTGATTTGACCTATCCTTCCTTATAAAGATTTTTTAATTATTATTTAAGGGGCTTACTCATTCCCAGGTAAATTTATACCCCTTCCTGTTTCCTCCTAAGGGCAACCTGAAATTATAGGATAAGCAATAACAATTCAAAAAATACTGGGAGATTAGGTTTACAGTGTAACAAAACACTTATACCCCAAACCAATCATTTTCTGTTTAGAACTTGTCTGTTACTGATCATTTTGAAACAAAAGGACTTCTCTTTTTCTGAGGTGGTTGCTTAGATTCAGAAATTACATACAAAAACTCTGAAAATTAACACCAGATGGTGTTAAAATGCAACAACTAGGAAGTCCCACTATGTCAGATCAGAAGAAGATCTGGTTAGCTGGGTATCTTGTCTGAAGTCATGTCTAGCACTGCCTTTTCCAACACGTTGTCAGTACATTCAGTACACTTCAATACATTCAATTTATTGTACCCTCTGAGTCATACAGCTTCGCAGGTGCAGTTGCCTCTAATCTGGGCACCTGCTGACCACCACCACAGGCACGCTGCTGAAAGGGTACTGGTAGACACGGCCTGAAAGGGCAGACCCAGGGCTTTTACAGGTTGTTGCAGGAATCCTCAAAGGATAATCCAAACATATGGTCGAAGTTTCTTGCAACTCCCTCAGTTCAGCAGGCATGGTTATATTACTTGAATTTTCTTCATCACATTAAGTGTACCACTAGATGGTCTCATTAGCCACATCTATCTTTCTTCCCTGACTTAGTGAAACTTTACACTTCAGTCTTACATTGTAGCAGTGAATTTCATAATTTCATCATGCTGTAAGCATTTCAAAGAACCCTTCTTGTATGGATTTTAACATGTTGCCTTCCAATTTCATTTATTCACCATTGGTTCTATAATTCAGGAGTGCTAACTTAATGATTCTTACAGAAATATATGGGCACAGAGCAGCTGTATTACATTTACAGCCTCATTTGTCTTTCCACTAAAGCTTAAACTTGGGTAATAGAGTATGCTATTGATTTTCAAGATCCCATTGTATCAGAAAACTAAGTCCAGTCTACCTTGCCCCAGCAGCTATCCTAGTTCAGTCACCTTTGCTTTTTGAACTGCATGTTGGCATAAACAGAGATGTTTCTATTTTAATGAACAACTGGCCTAGTGGTACATCAGCTGACATCCTGCTATTTTCTCAAATGTACTTAACGTGGGAATATCAAGCTTAGCTGATTATACTAGCTGTGTAACACAAAGTAGGTTGTGTCTGCATGGCAGTAATTTTCAAAGAGACCTAAGGGTAACCTATTAAACTTTTGTCTTGACACATGGAAAAATTCAAAATACAGAGCCCTGTGTTTCTTACCTTCCCATATGTTAAAACCCCAAAGAAATCAGGAATCTATCATTACTGACCTACCTAGCAAGTGCAACTTGAAAGGCTGTTTTTCTGAAGTCCCATCAGTTGCCTAGGTAGGTTGTTTTACCTTGGGCCTAGCTCCCCTACCCCGTACCGTTTCCCCATAGAAATACTGTACGTTGTTCTGTTCACTAGAAATTGTGGGGTTTAGTGACTGGTAAGAACAGCTTAGTTTACATTATTCCCTTCAACAGCCAGAAGGTATTCACTAACAAATCTACACCTGTGCATGTAAGACAGCTACACAGAGAGCCTCTAAGTCGTCTTGGAATGCATCGTTTTTTAATGAAGAAGTGGCTGATCTGTTTATACCAGGGAGTCACTTGAAACACCAGTTTTAGGCAGAAATTTAGGCAGAACATTTTGTTACTACAGAATTGCTTAAGAGAGACTTTCCTGTACTTGTGATTACAAAAATAACTTGAAAGGATGGGATCGTTATCCACTATAAGCCTCCCTTAACATTCCCATGGCACTGCTGTTACAGGATATGGTTCAAATCACAGCCAATAAAATAAAACATAACTGTATATAATTAAATCTATACTAAACAAAGTACAGCATAAAAAACAACTGTTAATGTGTATTGCTTATGTGTTTATTTTTCCATATGGACAGTGACAAGTTTCAGGTGTAAAGCATTCATCCTGAAGATACTAAAAATTACTACAGAAATAAAGGGATTTCAGGAACTGGTTTGTGAAAGTCTATTCAGATGCACCTCATCAGATACCTTTCCTTTGCTGTAAAGCTTAAGCCCATGCCTGCTCCAACCTCAACTGTCCCATTTAAATCTGGTGTTCTGCATACAGGGGTACTTGGTTAATCAAGGTCCCAGTCTGCCAAAAGCAGAGAGGATTCAGTTACTTGTATTTTATAACTTTAAAGTGCCCAAGGATAGACATCTGACATGGCTTGATGAAGTTCAGGTTTGACACGGAAGACCATAGTCCCTATGTAGCAGAGAAAAGTGAGTACTGTAACCAAGTAATTTGTGTAAGCCTGGTTATGGACCTAACAGACTAGTGACTAAATCTGAATTGCTCTCAATGTCCGCAGTTCCCTGATGCCAGCCTGCAAATGGCTAGATAAGCACTGTTACCAAACAGAACTCTCACTAGTTGTTCAGCATTCTCCAGAGACTAATGCTTTTTTTTTTTTTTTTTTTTTTTTCCTTTTAACCCAATTTACCTTGGAAACTTGTTTGGTGTTACTGTATCCAGATGCAATTAACTGATTCTGATACTCTATCTCAGCTTGGATAATAAGCACTCAAAATATTGGGCTAAAAAAGCGCCTCAGTTTAGAAACGTTGCCCATTGCTGTTCTTTTGAAATGCTCACGTGCATCCATACGCTGCTGAGGTGACTGGAGCAGCGTACACATCCCCACCTGTTGTACTGTGGCAGCCTAACTGTCCGAGACAACTTCTACTAGGGGGAAGAAAAAAAAAAAAAAAGTGCAATTCTCAGTTCTCTCATTTTCAGGCTCTTATTTCTGAAGGAATTGAACCCTCCCCCCGAGGGAGTTAAAGCTGTTTACAAACTCAATTAAGATGAAGCATTTGCAAGTACTCCAGAAAAAGAGCACTTCACCATGGTGCTGCTTCTGGTGCTTTCTTGGAACCCTGTGAGCCTCCACCATATTGCTTATGACAGTCGAAGTCACTAAAGGCTTCTTTATAACCCTCAGAGTACCACACAACCCTCTTTCCTTCCCACCAATGGCCACTCTCTTTGCACCTGTCCTGACTTCATTTGAAAGTCTTGTTGGTGTTAGTTGAACTCGGAGGCTGCGTGGAGCTACAAGTGAAACAATTTGGGAAAATTCTTCATGCTTTGAGCTCAGCTGCAGAAACTGGACACACATGTATGTTAGAAAGAGAAATAGAAATTTTTCCCCCTAGAAGCCAGAGGTGCTTTGACTGTTCTCCCAGTGAGCAGCTAAATTATGCGACTTGGTCACTCAAGAACAGAGATGCCTCAAAACCTCATGGTTGAAAATACTCCTCTAATTTTGGGGAAAGAACAGAAAAATCAGACCTGTGCACAACTGATGGAATTATGGATTTGCAAATGCAAACACAAGAGAGTACACAGACTGAATTGATGTGTCATATAATTATCAACTCGCTTTCCCTAAACAAAATAACTCACCAGCTTGGAAGTACAGCTTGTTGTCATGGAACTTGCTTGATATTTGGTGCTAATAAAAATTGAAGTTTTAAATCTCCTTCCTGTGAAGTCTGTGCATTAAAGTTCTTCCCTATTAAACACCTTCTTATTCCTAACTGTGCACCACAGCTGGTTACCCTGACACAATACAATCTTCATTATCAAAAGGTCCTTTGAAATAAGTGCTTGCAGGTTTAAAAGAAGAATTATCACATAAACAACTGGCACAATTAAAAGCTTAAATCACACTCTCTCTTTCCTGATGGAATCAAGGGTTACTGTACATCCAAAAAAAATCTATGTACATGTTCTCAGAACTAGAATATTCCAATGCAAGCCATCTTTGTGGATGATGCATGATTCCAGTTTATCCAGACTTCTGCACCAGGAAAGGTGAGGAAGAAAAGGGAGACTAAAAATGACAGGTATGAAAAAATATAGATGAAAGATGTGGGAGAAGGTTGGAAACAGACAACAGACCTGGGCAGACAACACTTGGCACCTGAGCAGGCTGGTTTTCCCCACCATAAGGAACAAAATTAGAGCAGTATCTTATGAAATACACAGTCAGCTCATTCACAACAGACACAGCATTCTTTTAGAAAGACACTCCCAGAACTGAATCGGGGCTGCAGGATGTATAAAGCCTCTCTATAAACTGCTCCTTCTAGTCCCCGTGATTTAACAGATTTGGGGTTTTTGAGTCTTGTGTAGACGGTGGTTCTCTCAGTTCTGGGACTAAAGCAGTCCTCCTCTGTAGCACACTGTGACTGAGACCTGTATGACAAAAGACACGTTCTGCAGCCGGGGGCATTCTGATAGTCTTCCTCTTGCCACCCTGGCAGTCACACAGGTAACTTCCCAGCAGAGACACTGCGGTTGATACTGGAGAAGGGGGGGAAAATCACCAACCCCATCTAGTATATACAAGGTCAAAGGTATGCATATAAATGTTCAGTGCAATTTTGTTTACCTTTTTTCCTTGATCCTGCTTTCATCCTGTTCTGACTGCTTCCCTGTCCTCTTCAGACTGCAATCTCATCTACTCCCCTCCTAGGTGCTGCAGGTTCACAGAGCTACTGAAGGACACGGGAATACTCAGATGATGAAAATAGTTACAAGGGGTAGACACTGATTTCTCATATATCCTCCAACCTTCAGTACTTTCAGCCTCACAGGAGATCAATCCAGGGAGCAGTGGGGGTGAATTTATATGCAATTTAAACATTACTGAAAACTGCTGAGATCCGTGACATTTCAGAGAACTCAGCGTGTCACAGCGGACGTGTCACTGATCACATGGAGCACAGTGTCCTGCAAGTTAAAAAGCTTCCTGAAGATCAGTGTAATTACACAGAACGTAAGGGTGTTCAGCTAACACAATCAGATCTAGTACCAAACAAATGAGTGCCCTGCTGCCTTATTTGCACAAGCAGCTCTGCTGAAGTATAAACAGAAATCGAGGGTAACACTGCCATTCTCAGTGCTGATGATGCAAGCTTATTTAATTTTCATTTTAATTTAGTGAGCTCTCACTGAAAATTAAAGATTCCCTGAGAGCTTTATAGCATGAAGTGGCAAATTAAATTGAAATTGAGATAATCCCCAGAAATGTGTACACAAGTAAAGCAACTCTTAAGTCCAAAAAACCTTTCAGACTCGCTTTTTCTTATTTATATAAGAACTTACTATCTCCTACACAGAAAATATTCTCAAGCCTTTCAATTTGTCTGAAGACATCCCAGAATGCATCGCATTGTGTCTACACTATCATTGCAGTGGGACTACTCAGATCCCTATCAGAGAATGAAGTACTATTGAAATGTCTTACATGAACCAGAAGCACCACAGAATTTCACAGGCAGGAGTTTAAAAAAAAAAAAAGGCAGCCAGCCAAGCCAGTCTTTTTCAAATTTCTTCTGGCTACCTTACTCTGAGCGCATATCACGAGCCTCAATACAATTTTCACTTCAGTATTTTCAAATAGCAACATTTGCTTATTTGAAAGCCTAAGAAGATCTCCATTTCAGGTAAGAAAGTTGTTCAGCTCTGCAACTCCTGTTTTTCAGGCTTGTATAAAATTGTTCCTGTGGCAACAATATAAGAAGTGAAAGCCCACAAGGAGTGACAATCTGGGTGGACAGATGTACACAGAAGGAATTTAAACCTCAGGAATGAAAGTAGATTTGCCAGTAGCCAAGGTTGTGCTGTAGTTTCAGTTATGTCTTCAGTGCAATTTCTGAAGCAGAGAATATGATGATTCCCCAGGGAAACTGCACAACCACAATGCCTAAGCATATTTAAAGATTATCATTCAGGGCTTTTAAATCCAGCTCTATGTTTCCATTAATCCAGTGAGCTGCCAGCCCAATCTCACACTGGCAGGCTCACTCACTTTCTAACAATAGAGAGCTTATTAAATATTAAGGTCTTATTCTTAAGTACTTCTGTATGACTAAGAAATTCTAAACAGTGCACAGAAGATAAACATTTTCCCACTAAAAATATATATACACACTGGTATTAGATAAAGGCAAATGTCTCCACACTAGCAGGAGAATTGTGTAATAAATCCACTCATTTTAGGGCAGCCCATGTGTCCCAGCAGTCACATTCTCCCCCACTCTCTAGACCCAGAGTTCACAGGCTTCTCTCTGAAGGACAAAAGCACACTTCTCCCCTGCCTTGAAATGCCAGCTTAGCAATTAGAAAGAGGTTCATGGCAGGATTCACACTACTCTGATAATACTGATGAGAAATACTAGAGGTAGAGACAGATAAACAATTGGTTAAAGGTGGTAGGACCAGCAGCACAGCTGATACTTGATCTCTGCTACTTTCCATTATATTATTTTAAAAAGCATTCAGCCAATATAGCTTTTGCTTAAAAATTAGGCTAGCTAAAATGCATAAGATAGACACATAGCCAACACAAGATTTTCTGAAAAATCATTTTCTGCCTAACGAGGAAGGGGGAGCATCTAGCCAGATGGATTACTTTCCTCTTGTATTTCAGCTGATTTGCTTCAGGTGGGGCAGGGGAAACCATAAAAGCTTTTAGCTGAGATTTTTAGCTTTCCATAGGGTTAAGGCATTCCACTGGCCCCAAGAGTAAGACAGATGGTCACCAGGAAAGCAGTCAGCAGCAAATGAGGGTCCTGTTTGGGACCTCTCCTGTGGGAAGGGGCTGGAGTACCCACAAGGGTGCCAAAACCCCACTTGCCTTCAACAGATGATCTGTAGTGTAAGCAGGCCTGCTGCCCCCTGAAGCAACCTTGTGAGCTAATGAGGACTGTGGCTTGTTACACTGAGGAACCAAGACCTTCCCAGATTAGATAATTTTTTTGTCTTCTTTCTCTGTGCACTTCTCTCCAACCCAAATTATCTACTGCAGCCAGATCCGCTCCTCTCTGCACAGCATCACCATTCCCTTGGGGGCTGGCACGCCAAAACCACTCCGCCAGGAATCAGAGGCACAGCAGCTTCTCTACAAACAGAAATATGAACTTTAACTTCCCTTTCTAGACTCTAGACAGGCTCAGATATCAAACAGGGGTCAGAAAGCATTACACCCACAGGGGCAAAACATGGATGTTGCCAAAAAAAGAAATAAGGAGCCTAGAGTCTGTGTGTACACGTGCAAACCTAGAGATGAATCAAAACTAGAATACTGGGTTTAGTGTGGATGAAGCAAACACCAAGCACCCACCTCAGGTTCTTCCAGAATGCGTATGCTGGCAGCCTCGGCACAGGCTGGTGGAGACACTGTCCTGCCCTGCACCAGGGGACACCACTGACACAGGTAGCACCTGGGCACTGCCATTCCTGTTACACTATTTATACATGGATGCAAGACAGTAGATGCAAAACCAACAATGTACTTTCAAAAATTTACCATGGATTTTGTCAGATCTCAAAATGCAAAGTTACCATTTGGATGTATTTGGTTAGAGGTTTAGCAGGGGCTCAGCCTCGTGTTTCCTTGACCCATGTTATCCACAGGACCATGAGTATGGAAGAGTACTTCATTATTCATGTTTGAGGGCTATGATTAACATTTCATAAAAACAAGTTCTGCAGGTACTGCAATAAAGTAAGGAGGTACTGAGGGCTACAAAACACATATGACTTCAAAACCCTTGGAAGGGATAATACAGCGTGCAGAATTACGTAAATCATTTTGTACTGCAAGTCAATCCCTTTATTAACAGGGGATTACAAGCAGCACAGCATTTGGTATCATTCACACAAACATAACTCGTATATTAATTCCTATACATGCAAAACTCAATTCACTGATACGCTCC